TTAACGACATTGCCAAGCTACTTTCGCAACCCTCATTTCCGAGAGATTTATTTATCGTTGTAAGAAGTAGCGTTATGATTGCTCTGAAAGCATTAGCGTATATTGAAATCATATGAGATTAAGGATTCAGAGATAATTGAAGATTGGAATGTCCGCTTTAGCTTCGAAATAATCCATTAATCGAATTATAAGCAATTACTATAATTGAACACTAAAGCACAATGTGTAGATTAATTTTTTTAAATAGTAATCGAAATTCATTCTTTCATTGTAAATAATTTTTCTGATATTGCAATAATTATACAAATTCAACTATAAAAAAATTTAATAAGAGACGCAGATATTCGGCGCAGCAAAATTGCCTTTAAATTCCTATTTAATTATTTTGAATAACAAATAAAAAATAATTAAAGAGGAATTTAAAAACAATTTTGTTAGCCCTTTTCAAATTTATCAGATTATTTAAATTATTAATATTTTAATTAGAACATAAATGATACGCACATTCTTGTTCGCATAAATAATAAATGAAAATCTGATTAATTAATAAAATCTGATTAATTGAAGAAACAGTTTGTACAGAGAAATACCTAAATTCTAATATAATTGACGATCGTTGTAGACTCGTAATCGCGGGATTACCGAACGTGGCTTGAGGATGTTCATATTTTAATCCCGATGAAAGTAAGATATCGCGCTACATGTCTCACAGGGCGTAAATCCCCCGGCTTCACCCAAGATTAACTGCCAAATTTGACCTCCATCAAGGAATATCAGAATCTTGGTTTCGCAGCGCGGGCAGAAACTTAGCCCGAAAGCTTAACGAGCCCTACGATCGCGCGAGACTACGTACATTTCGACACGGGCCAGGGTGAGAAAGTACTTATCTTCAGCGCCGAAGGGACTTGTCGTACTGTACTGTCCCATAAGCGACCCACTTTCCTTGGTATAAGTGTAAGTAGGTAGTAGGTAGATATAAACCAATCCCAGTCGCGCGCAGCAGCCAGCTGCGGCTAAGATGGAGTTTGCGATAAGCGCGAAACGAGCTTTCCATTACTCCTCCGAAGGCGCGTAAAAAGTTAAGCACCTTGACTTACGTACTATGTAACAACTCAAGGTCCGTTTTAATTAATTTCTTTTTACAGTCGCGGTAAGGCTGCCCGGAACGCGTAATTAAACCTGGCATTTAATACCCGCCGCTACTCTCGGCTTGTGTATATTGTCGATATAATCGCAATAAAGATAGCTTTCCGACGTTAAACACTATTTTTCGGTCGCTTTATCCCACGATAAGCAAGAAAGCTTCCCCGTGTGTTACTCAATTGTCAAATGCAAAAGTACCGGAGATTTAAAGCTAAAATACGTTTCGATCTGTATTTTTCCGGCAAATTTATATTTTCCAGTGAAAATAACAATGAGAGAACAGTAGAAAGGCAGTTTCGTGTTTACAAGAGCAGTAATATATATATATATATTCGGGAGACGCTTTAATTATATTTTAAACAGTGATTCATTTGTGCGTGAAATAGTAATATAAAACTGTATAAATAAAAGAGAACAAAATTGAAATATTTACACATATAACAAATTTGTTGTTTCGTGCATAATGATTTCTGGCGTGTGAGATATGATATAAAATTTTGATTATATTTCTGTAATTCTCATTTTATTTTTTTAGAAAATATCATTTATACCGTTGTGTGTTCCGTCCACCTACGCAAAAAATAAAAACTCGAAATTCCGATAAAATTTCATATAGAAATGAGAGAATTTTTACGTATACAAATTTTTTTTCAAAGCATTTCTTATTGTTCAGATTTTCTTCAGATATACATATATCATTATCTTATCGCAAGATCTTCTGCAACACTTTTGCGAATAGCACGACTGTGAGTCTAATGCATAGCGACGCGAGAAAATATTTCGGAAGGTAAAACCGAAACTGGTTGTCGAGAAGGTTTTCACATATACATACACACGTACACATTATCCGGTCTCTCACTTTTACCGCAGACATTGCTGCAGCGAGCTTTCGATTACTCGTAAAGCTTTCCAACGTTCCATCTTCAATTACACTTAATCGTGGTCGCCATGCTCGCAATAAAACGGTCACCGCAGTATATCTGTCGTTCGCGATAGCTCGATGCCTTTCTCGCTAAAATGTTTTCTACGACAAAGATAGTGGGAGTCAGGAGAGAGAGAGAAAGCTTTCTATTTCTTTGATGCTCTTTACTACAGGATCTATCTTGATTTATACGACCTTAAAAAGATTATTCGAGAGCGATTGCTGTTGCAAAGATATGGTTCATGAAGAGAAAGGGATCTAAAATAACACCCCCTTATGCAATGACGTTCTTGCAACGAATCAAACATCTCTTTAAAAAGTGTAAAATGCTCCATCAAGAGCTTGATTGATAGCCACATTATCCAAGTTCCGTATTGCGACAAAACGTTGAAAAAACAATTGCTTCATGCGCTACGTCTTGTACATACATATTTCTTCATAATTTTGCTTTATTTTATTTACTTATTTTGCTTTATTTGTAAAATTCATTTGACAACTTGATTAAATCTTAATTTACTTATGCAAATTTATTCGCATAAATCTTGGATACTACGACAATTTGATTTATATATAATGCGTTTCTTTATATTAGTTTTTAAATAATTTTTAATTTTATATTTAATGTTTAAATTGAAAAATACTAGAGGATATTGAAGAATGCAAATGATTTATAGGATACATGAAACATTACGTTATGGGTAATTTGCAAGCTTTGTGACTTGCAACGTGATTTGTCATCATGATCGCTTCAGACATTTCATCCTATAGCACTGATACCTTTTAATTAGAACCGATACGTAAACTATAGCGAGGGCATTGAACGGATGATACTCACCTCACGCATCACGTATTGGTCGGAAGTACACACCTGTGTATTATCGATCTTATGACAAAGCGATCTCCATAATGAGGTGTCGAGAGGTGCATTTTGCGGTCATATAACCACGCCCGTAGTTTATCTACATTTGTTTTTTTTCTGCCTCTCGTCGCGATCTAATAAATAGAACGTCGTGATGCATTCGACAACAGTCGTTGAATACAGTTGGACAGTCATTGATCTTTTTTCGAATCACAATTCCTCATATATTGCTTCGTTTTCGACTTATGTCAGTTGTTATACGGTGCGAAGTCATAACGGGAAAATGGGATTCTACTGTATAATTTATTATCCGGTGATATAAATCGCGATATGTAAAATGAAAAGGAAAATATTAAAAGTATTGAAATAATTTATAAAGCAATATTATTTAAGAAGACAATTCTAGATTTATGTATCCGAGGAATTAAATGATCTATTTTGATTAATTCATTATTATATAAGTATAACTAGCCATTTTATTTACATTCATTCGCGCTTTAATGTGTAATTATTAAATTACAAAGGTACAATCTAAATTTCAATGCTGTAATCGGCTTTTGATATTATGTTGTACACATTGAATACTTATTAATAACCATTATTGTATTCTCGTTTAATCACGCATTTTCGTTATTTTATAATAAATTAAATTTTGCCAGTAATTATTTTGCGTATCATTTCGTTCTTCTAATGCATTAAACATAATAGTATCTATATCATCACAAATATTTTATTCTGTTTTATAAATCCGTATAAATTTTTACTCTACTATTTTTATTATAAAAAGAGTTTGATCATTCGATTCTCTCTGTTTTAATTTAATCCGATGGTATTAATTTCAATAAAATACTCAATGCGCAAAGAATACCTATGTACTGTTTTCTGCTTCATAGTCACTAAATTTACTTGCGATTAAATTTTCGTGAAATTTACTCGGAGCTGACAGACAATGACTCGAAGATGCTCTTCGAAGCAAGAGATCGGGGAAAGTAAGCAACGCGGAAACAAAAGTTGGGAGTAAAGTTTACCGGAAAAAGTTTCACGGCGGTACCATATTCGCGCCCGAAATTAACATAAGAGAGAGAGATAGGTCACCCAGAACTTGATTCTTCAGCAGTCGAAACTTTTGGGGAAGGGTCAGAGATTATATATCGTAGGTTTCCGTAGTTTACTCAACAGCGAGCGCAAGCTCGACATCGTGTCTCGTTATTCACGCTGTCCGATTTCTTTCGAGCTCACACAAACTCGTGTTTGCCATTCCATTAGCCGGAAAAATGTATGAATATGCAGGAAGAACGTACGGTTTATACCGCTCGCGGATTTACGTGTTAGTGCCTGCCGTCACATTTAATTATATCATCTAGTGACGGAAAAATTCTCTACCTTTATATCTAGGTAATCAGATATAAAATTATTTCATACCTACCCTTGTTATTTTGCAGTATTTTCGCGGCGTCTCTTTCCATTTTAAATCTAAATATTGTATACGTATAAGAGAGCGATATCTTGCGATTAAAATGTATTTATTTTATCCTTAATAATTATTAATGTTAAATATCAATTATGTGATAAAAGAATGATTAAATATATTGTATAATGCATTATCGAATATGCATTGACATTTAACGCCAAATTGATAATGCGTACGTTGCGGTGTACATAATCAGCAATGTTTGAAATTATTGATAGGAGGATTTATTACTCTCGTTGCACATATCCCACATAAATCACCGATCACCTGCGCGTACCTTCATAACGCGTATTATTGAAATATACATCCGGTTTAAAGATACCAATTTGCATGTTTTAACACAAAGGCGTGCTTCCTGATCGCGCTGCGATCAACGGAGAAACAATAAACTGCATCATCAGCATAAATATAAATTGAACGATTCGTCAATTTCATTAAGAGATTAGGAAGGGAGAAAAAACAGCGAGAGACCAGCGAAGCGGTAAATAAAGAGATAAAGCGGGAGCGAGCAGTATATCATTGAGATAAAAGTTGGGAAAATACTCATTAAAATACATTGAATTAATTAATCCGTAACAAGATTGTGGGTGGGTTTTTCACATTACCTGACACTCGTATGTCCCGTTATCTCTCTCCTGGACGTATTTTATTTGAAGGGTCCAATCGTCCGAGCCTTCGGGATGCAGCACTTGAAATCGCTCGTCGTTCGTGTATGTAAACATGGAGCTTGTTAAGACGTGAAAATCACGTCGCCGGATCCACGATGTCTGAAAACACAATAATCGATGGACGGTCAGTTAAAATTGATAAATGCATAAGAAATGTTTTTAATTATCAATTTTACAACGACAAGTTAAAACTGAACGAGATCTATGTGGAAGAAAAATGATGCAGCAAATTAACGAGTAAAATGGATAATCAATCTAATTTGATAGACGTATTCCGTCATCACAGAAAATATGACACAGACGTATATCGAATTTTAATTGAAACAAATATTAAGTTAACATGGAGCTGTCAGCATATATTTGCGCTTATATAAATTAGGTTAACATAACCAATTGGATTTCATTTGATGAAAATTATGTGTCAAGCGTTTTTAATGGGTTCTCGACGAGCATACAAAATAATTACATTTGTGCAGATATAAAAAGTTAATAATAAAATAATAATGACAAAACATTGCTGCCACGTATATATAAATTATAACAATCTATACATTGTGTAAAACAGCAGAGAGATTAAATACAATACAGCAATGTTAGATTACAAAATAATCCTGTTGAGTATATATTGGCATGTTGTGTAAATAAAGAGAAAAAGATGAACGATCCGTGTGTTATACCACATGAAATGGAAATGTATTTATAACTTTGCGTAATGACTGTATGAAAAATTTCAAAATAAAATACAATCGATTATATGCATATATAACAGTTTGAATATATATAAGAACCTATTTTAATTAAGTAAGAGAGACTAAAAATGCAATTGCGTAATGTAATATGCGTTACATAAATATTTCATCAAATTTAATTACAACCGAGCTACGTATCTAGTGAGATATTTTATTTTTAATATAATGTCAAATAAAGATAAAAATGTATCGCTTCTAGAAATAAATTTTGCTTCATTTTTTTGAGGGCGCCGATATATTTTTATATAAGATATATTTTTATATAAAATAAATTAAATGTACAAGCAATTTATTTATTAAATTATATACATGTACATATATTATCATCAACATAAAATGCGCAACATTAAGTTTTTTTAAAAATATTTTTCTTTGAAAATAACCAAATAAAAGAAGCGGTAAAATAAATATTGTGGTTGTCTCTTCAACATATATGGTAAATAATAAAAGTGTAAAAATAAATTACTTTTTTAAATGAGCAGAATAAAAATGTAAATATTTCAAAGTAAAATAATGATTCGTATATTTCTCACAATCATGATTTCTATATTTATTTTAATGTATAGCAGCCATGATCACTTATTGTTTATCAAACGAGAGAGAGAGAGAGTTTACGAAGCGTGAGGAAAACTGGTTTTAGCGGTACTTAGTAATTTCGCTCCTACTCAAATGTTACGACCTATCTTGCGATCCGGAGGGACTGAGCACGATATTGCATAAATACTAAAATTGTGAGAGCCGGAAATACGATCTCGATCTCTGAGGGGATGCGGCAGACCTACCCCCTCCTACTCCTCCCATTGTCCTCAAACAAGCTTCTTGCTTCCTCTTCCTCAGTTGATGCTTCAAGATCATTGTAGGAAGAGAATGCATAAAACATAAGACATGAACTTGGTAACCAATCACGATCTTTAGATCGAATTGCTGAGAAAAGTATAAATATAAATAATGCGATATTAAATTATTATATGCAATGAGATAAAATTAAAAAATTTTTTTATTTTAATACTTAATGTGAATTTAAATGTGCTTTTTTTATGAATACGTCAAAATCAGATTACGTTAAATATATTGTATAGCAACAATAACTAGCTGTTATAGTTACCATTTTATATATGCAAATAGAAAAAAATGTGTTGACCTAATTGCTTGTAATATTTAGTATAGTATATGCGACTCGCGTTCCTGGATATGTAGTTTTCATTTTAAATAGCATATAAAAATAGCGCAAGCATTTGTAAAGTCGCATTACGCGAATAATGCCGCCGTAAATATGCTAATTCCCGTTATAGCATTATGTTTACATAATTTTATTAATTTGTTAGACTTTTCGCGAGTACTGGCAAACTCGACAAGATGCTCGGAAAATTCAAGTAGCGAAACTTTACCGCAGTATGATTGCCAGCTCTCGGTTAGAATCAAGTGCTTCAATGTTTCCAGGCATTCGGAAGAGATCGGTTCGTCCGAAAGCATTAAACCACTCGAAGCACTTCGATCGGCTTCAAACTTTAGATTGATGTGAAATTTCTCGATAGACTAATTATTATGGATTTGCTTTTCTCCTTCTATGATCTGTATAAAAGCCAGCAGAACTCATTTCACTGCGTCTTCAAGATAATATCACGAGAAACGCGGTAGTCTAACACGATCTCTGATGCAATTTTCTTTCAGATAAATGAACAGTGAAATTTTTATTATTTCAATTATACAGAAATTCTATTTCGAGGTGGTCTAGAATTCCAACTCTCGAGTCAAGCGTTTACTCGTGATACCTCAATGATCTCGGGGTCTGCAAATATCTGTCGTTGATATATTTAAGCACTTCTCCACTTGCTTCAAGTTTCTTTTATGGCAGCAAGATTAAACTTGGAATTGTGACTAAAAGCCTTTTCTTTTTGTTCGCAGCCGAAAGTGGTCGTACTCTCATTCGGTGCTGATTTAGAAAAGAGAGTTTGTTCCGACGACTCTAGAGATCCGATGAGAGTTTTGGACGAAAGGCATAGCCGACGTCGGAAGTTTACAACGTCGAAATTTCGACAGAACAACCGACGAGGTCGATTCTATTGCCGTGTAGAGTGCAGCGGTCTGTATGATGTATGTAGGTCAGCGTCTCCCAACCTTTCACGTGCGGTGGACCAACGGTGCATCAATTGAAAGAAGCATGTCGCGGCGCGATGCATCGTAGTATACGTACGTGCGATACTTGAAGACATATACTTGAAAAAGTGCCAGAGGAACGGACGAAAATATGTATTGGCTTGCGTGACACATACATATATCAAAATTTTTTAAAGATGTATTTTTCTTTCTCCTTCTGTTGTGTGTGTTCAAGACCCTCGGACATTTGTACATAATATTGAATACTAAATCCAATATCACGTAATAATTTTATAAGATCGTTTTCCTTGATATTTTCATCGATTCCATTTTCTGCACAGTTATTTCCTCTTTCTTTTTTTTATTGAATTCGATGAAGTTTTGATAAAAATAAAATATTGATTTCTTTTATATTCTTCTTAATATTTTTCTTTACGTAGTAAATTTAATCGATGAAAGGAGCTGGGAGAATTTTGGAAGCAGATTTGTGTGATAGATACAATGAGTAACGTTAGGTTCGTGTAACCTCTACGGGTGACTGACCACAACCAGTGCTTGGTTATCTCGCTAAAGGGTTAGGTCAGGTATATCCTGTCTGGCTTTTCAGTTTCTGTTTCATGCTACTCGAACAGTATGGAACGTTATGGCTGCGGTATTTGCCGTGCAAAGTTTCGCGTGTAACCACAAATGTTATTTTCGAACAGTGTGCTAGTTTGTCATAATACTACACATTTCGATTTTGGTTGAAATATTTGCAAAGCGAATTAATTTTCAGTTAGATAGGCAGTAATAAAGTTATTTCATATATGTGTATGCCAGACAGATATACATCACATTCAAAATCTGCAGCGTTTATTCATATTGACAATGTTGATGAAATGTATCGTACTACTCTGTTATTAATAAATCTAACTTAAAATATTAAAGCTATTTCAATCTGAAATAATAGAGACAATTCCAAATAGAAGCGATTAAGCCAAAAAAATATTACAAAATCAATATTGCAGCTTTATAACTTTTTTAATTAAATATTCGATCTTTTCCATTAAAGAGATAAAGTGTATCGCACATATACACACACAATCTCTCTATCTTCACGCACAATTTCTGATTCTAATAATAATAAAAAAAATCATCTCTTATCTTTAGAGAAAAGTAGAATAATCCTCTTGTTATACAAATCAGATTCCACGTTATTGGAGTAACAGCATCGCAATCTTAGGCGCGCGCGTGATGAGATCGAGTAGTATGCAAGGCAGTTTAGTCAGACAGTCCAGATTTGATCGCGCCGAAACTGTTTCGGCTATCGGGAGGTTATCGCGCGAGATTGTCAACGATGAAAAAATAATAGGAAAAAGAGACAAGAATACATGCTACTACATACGAGAAGGAGAGAAAGCGATATACAGGGTGTCACTTAAAAACCGCTCACTAAGTACATAGTGTTATTCCTCGCCAAAAATAAATGAAAAAAATCTTGAACGATTTTTTTCTATCATATATAATAAAAGACTAATTATTGAATAAAGTACGGCCAAAAAACGGCGAATTTTAGCCTGACGCACATTAAAGTAAATCACTAGGCACGCGACTCAAACTGTTTGGCCGTACTTTACTCAATAATTACTCTTTTATTAAGTGAAAAAAAAAATTGTTCAATACTTTTCGACTTATTTCTTGATAAGGAATAACGTTATGTACAATACTTGGTGGGCAGTCTTGAAGTGACACCCTGTACATGTACTGGGAGAGAAGAGCCTCGGCGTTGCGTGCCGGCTCGTTTCGTATCATCGCTCGAACGGAACGAAGCGTGATTGCTCGGCGCGCTATCTCGGGACACGCGAGAGATCGTCCGGTATACGAGCGCGGCGATCCGGTGATAACCCATCGCCGATTGTTAACGCGTTAATGGAGTTACTAAATGCGAACGTGCGCATTCTCGTCCCTCGATACTGCGCGCACGGCGCGCAGCTCTTTGCCTTCTCCTGGCCGCGCCGGTAAACAACCCGATAAAATTAACGAGCCTAGGCAGATTAGCACGTCGGGAGCGAAACGGTGCTGCACGTTGCGACAATGAACCTTCCGGATAATCCCAATCCATATAGCACCTTCCGATGCACTCTATACGCGGATTAAATCGGGAGATTAGATTTTATTTTTTGCTAGATATATTTACAGTACGGCTCGTGTAACATTTCTATCGCACGAATATCAATTGTGGAGGATGTTCGTTAATCGGAATATAATTTTATGTTATACCATAATGTGAAGATAATCTCAAAGATTGCTGCAAAATGATAAAATTAAAAATAAATATTACATGTATGTAAAACATTAAATAAATAATATAATATGCAATATTAAAATATCAATGCTTTGTAAATGTCTACTTTTCGACATTTCCATGTATATTCTAGTTGTAAGCATTGATGTGTGTGTGCCAGGCTTTGCCGAAATTCGCCATAAACAGTTCAATAAAATTAATAGCAGATTAGCCCCGATGGCAGGAGACGCGTTTGCTTAGCCTACTAGAACCAGGGAACAATGGACCGACCTGTCGGATAACCCAAATCTGTCGACCGACTCTGGGCCACCGGTGCTCGTTGCCAAGATGAGTGGTCGGCACGAGTCCATCGTCGAGGATTCTGAGGTAGGGATGTGTAGTTTCGGCTCAATAAATGATCGCGTTTATGCTGCTTTCCGCATACAATTGTAATGAGAAATGTTTTCCCGAGAGACTACAAATCACTAGCTCGAAATCGATACGAGTTCGCATTTTACAAATAGAAGAAATATTGTGTGTGTGTGTGTTATGCGAGATTTCCTTCTTTCTGATTCCATGCCAGAGAATTGCATCGAATATATCTTTCAATTCCGAAACATCTATATATTTTAAATTTGAATGGGTAATTTATTGAAATTTGAGATACTATGTACGTCTACATAATTTCGATAGTGCTCATTCGATTATACTTCCGACAGCCGCCATTCTAATAACTGCTATAATTTTGTCATGTAAAACGGTTTTCTATAAATCACTATACATATATTTTTGCTCATCCGCTTCAGTAAGATAAATGACTTGCGCGAGTCTGTCTTTTAAAGCCGCGTCACAATGATTTAAGCAACATGGCCGACTTTATGAACTCATCGATATCCGAAATACACTTTTTAATGCCGTGATATATTGTTGACCGCGTGCAACCTAGTCAGATTAATCGCGAAATATTACATAACGAGATTTGTGTCTGCTAAAAATACAAAAAGACAATATATATATATATATATATATATATATAATATATAAAGAAAAGAAGAAAATATGAAGTGAAAGAATCTGTATGTACTTTATATAGTGTCTATCGGTAAAGACAATCGTTTCACGAAATTACCGATTATCTGACAGAGTGGCAGATATCATTAAGACATTAATCTTTCACAAGATCCCCCTTATTGTGGTTATCGATTTATCGGACGACGCACGCAAGCGCGCGATTGAAATTAATGTCCGAAGACGGAAGTGGACCATTACGACGACCAAATCCATGGCTTCAATTCAACCACGACGGTCGTCAAGACAAAGGACTCTTGTCCCTCAAAGACGCCAAGTCAGATATCCTGCTGGGCTTCATTCTCCCCACACCTGTGCTCAACGTTAAACCACATTTCATACTAATTACGCTAGTTTACAAAACCGCATATTTCATCCTCCCTTTATCCTATCGTATGCTTCGAGAAACTTATAAGGAAAATACAAAGAAGTACGTTTATGATTCTAAAAGATTTATATGTATATAAAATTAATTAATCTATAACTAGAATATTTTATAAGTATATATTATGTATGCAAACAAATATTCATTGTTGTATAAATGTTAAAAATTTCTCGACAAAATGGTTGCTTCGTTTATCTATTATATATAATACACATATTTATCTCGAATTTAATTTGTCCTCCCTTTGCTTGATTTTATATTTAGCGTATATTTTTCGTCTATTATTTTAAAATAAATTTTTAAAATTATTATCATACATTCTTTAATTCTTTCAAGTTTTAATTTAATTTGATGACGGTAAATTCTTTTTTTTAATTTTAACTTTAATTAAATAATACATCAATTTGGAAAACGAAAAACATATCATATCTAAAAATTGATTAACAAATAAAGCAATTGGATGCAAATAAATCAAATGCGAGTTATTTTTTAATTGAATTTATACACTAGCCTATTTTGAAACTTTTTCGGGCCTCGTGAACTTATCTAGTCTTCTTCCCAATTCAAGTTTTATCTCGGCACAAAATGGCTTTCCGATCCAATAAAGTGTGCCGCGTTAATTATCGGAATTTCGAGAGGTAATTCATTAATATCGCTTTCTGGCGATGCTGCACGAATCGATATCGTCGCCATGAAAAAGAAAGGGAAGGAGTGAGGGTAGGAAGGAAAAGAGGGAGGAAGGGAAGAGAGAGGGAAAGAGAGCGCTTCCCTTTCGGATGAGAAATCGACAACCAAATGTTGAAATGTAATCAACTTTCGTGTTTCTTCGGCTACGCGATTTCGTCAACGTCAATTGTTGCGCGTATTGGGCGGAAAAAATTGTTCTCGAACGACATACTGATGGCGGTGTGCGGCTTCACGGAGAACGTCGACACACTCTCTCTCTCTCGGCCGTTCTATCAAAATTACTTCGCGGCGTTCGACTTTTCGTCGCCATCAATCTTTCCTGGTTTGACTGCTAACGCGATAATGCAGTTACGCCGTGCGCCGGGTTAGGTAGATACAGACCTCGACCGGCCCGTCGAATTCGTCATAAATAATTGAATTAAAAGCAACGACGTCGGATAAGTGGATTTGCGGATCACCCAACTGGCAGAACCTCCGAGTAACGTTGATTCACGATAGCTTCGCGGTACCGGAGATTTCATAGGAAATTCACATGATTCCGCGGAATGACCGCTCTCCCGAGGATATTGCGTTCGGAAATTTAGTGCTGATTTTTTCATTGTCATTTATGCCCAACGGAGACTGTCACGAATATATCATGCGTAATGTATTCATTATGTTCCAAGTACAACCAATTATCTAACCAATACGAAAGAAAGAGATTGGTTTGGGAAATATTACAATAAAGCTTCGATTATAAGTATGTGCATTTGTTGTATAAAAATTTTAGTAATTATTATATATTTATAATAATTAAAATTTTTTTTAATACAAAATCTAATAATTTAACAATTTATAATTTCAGAATCATAAATTATATTTTTCTCCATTCAAAACTGTTAAAATTAATAAGATGAGTCATCAACTTTAAGTTTTCTCATTTTACATTATTTGCGGAACGTGTAAATTAATGAACAAGTAATATTCATTAGTAATATAATATTGTTATTTTATGATTTATCAATTAAACATTAAAATTGAGAGAATCCGGAGGTACATTTTGTAAATATGAGCGAATAGTTGTTTTATGCCGAAACACGAAATTTCGTGATGTTAGCGTGATATCTTCGCTTGCATTACAATTTAGGAACAGTAATTAAATAAAATAACGGTTAAATTATACAAAGTAATAGCGAATGAATTAATTAGTCGCTTCGATAAACATGACGGAAATTGGGAATCCAAATAAACTTCATAAACACAAATACATGTACATCGTTGGCAATGTAAAGCGAATCATAAAGTGGTCCCTCTCTCTCTCTCTCTCTTTCATTTCCTTCTCTTTCTTTATCTAATCAATGTACTCTGATATATTAAATATAAATAAAATGCATCCAATATATGAAACATTTTCTAACTATACTATACGCTCTTATCAATCAAAAATCTATTATTAAAGGCTCGAAATTTCAAATTCAAAAATATTGTTAAATAATTAATTTCAAGTCACTGTGTGTGACATTCAATTCTATAAATTCCGTAATTTCTCAAAAAAACCATTTTGACATATGAATTTAATAGTTCGCCATTTCTACATAAAAGTTCTCAAATCACAGATCCTGTAAGGATATCTTCCCGAATTGGGGCGGATTTGTCGCGGTCATCGGCTTTTTGCCGGCATCAATCTCGTAGGCTGCCGCGAGCCTATCGATGTCGATAGCTATCGAATAAAGGATAATGCAATAATGACACCTGATAGAGATGTCTTAAGTAGGGGTTTATCCATTATTACTTCATCTTGTTATTAAATATTGACGTTCGATAAAAAAGGAGACGACGAAGAATCAAATCAATGTCTCCAAAAGAAGGAAGAATCGGAGGTTTTTGATAAGGACATTTCCAGGGAGCGCTATTGTTGCGTTTATCTGTATCCAATACCTATCCTATCCTCGTCGTTTTCGTGGAATCGCATACTGATTGCTGCGCTCTCACCAGGATACGTCGTGATCATCGATCGTCTTCCCAGTTCGAAGCGTCATAGTGGTTGTACGAAAGGAGGTCATTACGCTCGTGCACATGAATAAATTTGTACAGTTGTTCCATAGCTATACCGACAAGATTAATCGTGCACTATATTCGCGTCGACGATGCGTAGGCATTAATATAGCTTCTCGTGTGCACGCGTTATTCCTACATGAATGGCAATTAGAAATGTTTTTTTTTCTTAGAGCGCAAGTATTTTTGATATTTCATAAAAATAATAATAATTTCTATTGTGTTATCCAAAATCGATCTGTTGTATGTTAAGAAATATTTGTAGACGACGAAAATCTTTATTGATCGTAATCATCTGTCACGTCTGCCGAATGGTTTAGATATTCTACTTGTGAATTTCTAAATATCTTATTTTACGAAGAAGAAAACTGAAAAGTGATTGCGACATGGTTTGTTAACACAATCGATGCAGTTCGGTAAAGATCCGCGTTAATGTGTAATTATTTTAAATAAATTTTGTAAATATCTCTAGAAAGTCCATAATAAATACGTCATCATAGATTATGTTGTTCGCCACGATAGTTGCATGCAAACTAAATTTAACGTCATTTTAAAAAAGAAATTTTGTAGAAATGCACAATATGGTAACTGCCTGCAGAAAAGAGTCGAGCCCACAAAGAAAGACACAATAATCATTCTGAAAAAATCGATTCGTACTTGAAAGCTTTACGATTGCGACTCGATTCCCCCCCATTCGTTGAAAATCGGTCGCTTCTTTTAAGAGTTTTTTTTTTTCGCAAAAAGACGCAGAGAGGTTAAAACGTAACTGCTTTCTTACCTCGGCATCGGAAACGGTCCTCTCCGCCAAATTGCGAACTTTGCAGTGGAGAAAGGCGGTGCCACCCAATTGCACCGTGACGTTGGAAACGGTGTTGTTGTCGTTCGCATCGTTCACTCTCTGCAGCTCGTCCAGATTGCTGAACCAGAGAGCTCTCCAATCCGACGGTATGTTGTACGGTACGCGTCGATCTGAAAGAAAGATGACCAGCGGGTATAATTACGGTAATTTAATTAAGTTGATTGTCTTTGGGGAGCCGAAATTCGACGAGCGACGCCGCAATTAACCAACGAGGCTATCGTCGTCGTCGGCTCGACTACCGGCGACAAAACTTTTTTATCAGAACAAAGAAAAATAGAAGTTATAAAGGTACGACGAGAGAGCGAGAGGAGAAACCCGCCAGGAGAAAACAAACGTGGAACGAGCCTGAACTCCGCTTGTTTTATCCCGGCCCTCGTGAATTAGAAACTACTTTCCGCGCTCGGACCCTTCTGAATTACCTTGTTATTAAATTTTTTAAGAATACGACCCGTGTTCCCGCCGCGCTCCACTCATTTCTTTCGATGTAAATCACTGGGGAAATGTGCCGTAAAAGTTATGGGGCAGTTTGCACATCGCCGTAACGATGTCTCGCAGCATTATTTGAACATTGCATACAGGTGTACGGAATATATACCCCGACAAAGTTTAAACACATGGGAGCAATATTATTATCAGCCTTGGTTTATCGGCGTCATATCGTGTAATGCGATTCGAAATAGTTTATAATTAACAGTTGATAAAAGATCGTTTCTTTACATGTTAAATTTTTTGAATTCCTGATTTATATATAAAAAAAAAAAATTATAAAAATTCCATAATTTTATTTGCTCCATCTCGTAATAAATATCCGCAACATAAAAAAAGCAACAATGCTTTACTAATTATGCAACATCGCTCGAGTTTAACCGTACGCTTCGTATTGCTTTACCGAATAAAATTCCCAGTATCGCAAGATTCGCGATAGAACCGAGAGTGAAAGACGCGAAAGAATTTTTTCCCTGACGTGTGCGCGCACTTTGTTAAAATTTTCACGAATACGACCTATTTCCGGGCGTGGCGGGTGATTTAGGATGTTTGCCCTCGACGGCAGATTACGATTCAAGGAGACTGCGTTGCCGGTGCGGCAAGCTCGAATGTGCCTGCGCCTCGTCCTGACCTCATTTGAATAATCCATGGATACGTAGCGGCGTACATACCTTTTACGCGCTGTGCGAACGCGTTTGCGTTAAAAAAAAAAAAGAGAGATACGCCTAGTAGGGCGCATTCGCGATGCTCTCTCTTACTCGAAAACACGACCTCGTTCGCGTCACACTTGTAAAACTTTATTCAGATCATGTTGCCTTCGAAATTACGGACCGAATCTTTTTTCAGGAGTGACTTTGTGCGAAGAGAAAATCTATAAATCGAGTTTTCTGAGTGAGTGAGAGTGAGAGAGAGAGAGAGAAAGAGCACTACTTTTATCGAAAAAATGGTTTCCGATATACAAAATTAAATAACATAAATTATATAAATTACTACTATTATTATTTTTTGTCTTACATTATTCCTTTATATTAAATATTAAAATTTAACAAGTTTGATTAAACCTTACACTAAATTTAGAAATAAAAAATAAATTGACCATATTCGGTATCGACATTTTAAATAATTGTTTCGTGAAAAATATATCTATCTAAATAAATTATTAGTCAAGCTGCAAAAATTACATTACACGAGAAAATATGTATATAGACGGAAGGAACAATAAATGAGAAAATATTAAACTTTAACGCAGTTCTCTTTGTTTAATCGAGTTGTGAAGGATGCGATACAAATCATGTATGCATATATTCTTGCATATTTTATTGTAAAATGTAAAAAAATAAACAATTATATTTTGTATATTCATGTATTTGTATACACATTATTTTTATATAGTATAAAAAAATGTATTATACCATAATATCACTGGTGAAAAATGCTTTGAGAAGAGAGAAAGAGTGAGTACGCAAAGTAAGATGCGCATCGCGTAATACACATAACTTAGCAGTACAAACATATTTAATTCAGGGAAGTAAGGATCTTACATGAGAAAAGTTTAGCTCGCGTGATCTGCGCGCGGAAAGCATCCACGTACCTCCTTCAGGAGGGCCTTCCTTTCATCGGGGATTCGATTCGGCCGTGGAAAAGTTCGGCATTCTAAACGCCTCGACTCTATCTTGTACATAGGTGCTGCGGCAAATCGAGTTTGAAAGCCTGAAAGTAGCGAGCGTGTTTGGCCGCTACTCGTATTCATCAAAGCACCGAGGCGAAACTGAAATACCGGGCTTCGATGGCTTCGCCAAATTCCGAAAAGTCTTTTAACCGCTCGTAAAAGGAAATGGCTTAACGTGGGAAATGAACGGGAAATTTAATCTCTCCGGGCATAAAGCTATAACCGAGGGAAATTAATACGGAAATATCCAGGATTGTTCAATGTTATTTAATCAGAAGGGAGAAAGAATTTTTTTCCACAAAGAAAAAAAAAAGAATATATTTCGCCGTTGTCGATAAATATAAAATATAAATTGGTTTTTTCTTTTGTATAGATCGCACGAATATGGTCGACATTCCAACGCTAATCTCGTTCTAAACAACATACAATGTTTGTTAACGGATTTCCACCTGTTATTCTGCATATCACGTCAGTTACTCGTTTTCAGACGCATTGAATTTTGCGTCCGTTCCGCGATAACGAAGTTTCAACACTTTATTTAACTAGAAACAGCGCGAATTATTTAGATCGAAGCATCAGGCACTCACTACTGTGAGTTTTCGTTGTAGTGTTGTAACGTTACGTTGTCTAATTTAATGTTAGCAAACATCATTGTTGAGCGTACATAATAAATGAAAATAATTAATTAGAACGCTATGCTAATGCAAAGTGCACAATTGTTGCAGACTCCGTGTTTCGTATCCATCATGTAATAATTTCCGCAGTAAATTATCAGATAAATTATAGAATACATCTATGTATATGTATATGTATATTGTATATAGACATGTATGCATGTGTAAGTTCGTCGAGCAGCAGGATTTTCGCTTTTCAGTTTGAGTATTTTAAACTTTCGAGATGATGAAAACTATTGTTCTATTGTTATGTTATCCAGCTTTGTCTTTGAAAATCTTTAGAAATCTTTCTAATTAATTGACACTGAGTCTTATGCGATTTTAAACATCCAAACGTCTATTGCAGATGTTAAACTTCTCCTTATAAATATTTTTAAAAAATTCCGTGTAGTTTCGAAAAAGTATTGTAGTTAAAAACATTTGCAACTAAAAAAATGGTGCATTTTTTACGTTTGCGACACGACTTTCTCGACATGATTATCGATCGTTGGCTGTCTCTTTGCTTTGATATTTTTGACTCAGCATTTATAAGTAAATACTTTAACTTGATTACCTCAAGTATTAATATTGTTTGTCAAAAACATAAAAAACTCTATTTCGTCGTCATATAATATTTAATTGCAACACTAAAAATAATATTAATGCAATTAAACTCAATAATATTCAATTTATATTTATTAATAATAAAAACAAGAAATTAATAATAATAAATTTCGTATACATAAACTTTTTAATGAGTCCTCAATCATAATAGATCGAAAAAAACAAAACGAACCAAGCAGATGAATATATTTCTACAGCTATATTAAAAAAAAAAAAAAAAGATGAGAGAAATTGTGTACGTAAGAGAGAGTTTATTCCTATTTTACTTGTCTATTGTACGGCATTGCGCGCAATTTGACTTGCCAGTCGGTTATCCGTTTGAAAGCATAATGGAGGCCTCTAGAAAACAAAGGGATGCGCGTTCTGCCATAGCAAAGGGGTAAGTGGGCCGCGCGCGCCCACTGGATGCATATACGCAAACAGAAGCAATCGTGGGCTCTCCCAAATGCACGAGTTCCTGAAAAACACGTTCGCTCGACTGCGGACAAAGGATCCGCTCCGCGTGCGGCTGAGCGCTTCACGGGCACGCTTTGTGTGCCGTGCTCGCGCTTATTTTAATCGAACGTGTAATTAGAGCCCTGCTGACTTGGTGCACGCACATGTCTCTTTATATCTCTCCATCTCTCTCGAAAAGTGAGTTAGTGTTGTTCGAGTTTGGTCATTGTGACAAAAAACGGAGCGCGAAGTCATCGTTTCTCTTATACAGTCTCATTGAATCTGTGATGCAGTTTCGAAAAAATAGAAACGTATGCATCTCAAAAATAAGATATAAATATAAGAGAGAATAAGGACAGTAAAATAGTCTCGATCTAGATCTCAGAATTTGTGCTTGATTTTCCCATCAAGATTCATCCACCGGAGTTGGAATTCAAATATAGACCTGCCTCGTCGTAGCTTCTTGCGCTCGCTAAGAGATCAATAAACGATTATATGTATCTGACAGTAGTATTTTTTGTCGCTTTGTATCGTTCAATTTGATATTCCATCGGCAGAGCGAGATGGCGATGCAAAGAGATTGAATAACAAAAAGAGCGAAAAAATCGAGAGCTCACGTGCGAAGATGCAATGGACTAAAAGAACATAAAAATAGCGAAGGAAGAAACGAGCGAGCAGATAAGGCGAAGAGAGTTCGGTCTCGTCGTGGATACGAGTAGGGAAATCTAGAACGAGGACGTTGAACATCAGGAAACGGGAAACGGGAACGAGGAAACAAGAGAGAGTGAGAGAGAGGGATGAAGTGTCGACGTTCGGGTCGACGACGGAGAACCGTATGTATAACAGTAACCAAAATGCTAGCCTGCATCAAGGCATTACGTCTGCCTATCCGCCGTCACCGCCGCCTTAAACGTGTAGTAGCGCAGCGCTACTACCTGCATACATACATGTAGTTTGCATAGAAATGGCACACGTCATCCCGCAACGCGGTGGTCTCTGCTTTATAAGGCATCGCGCTTCGTGCAGATTACTATTCACCAGCTTTCTCTCTCTCTCGTCTATCCCGCTATGAAGTGACCGTCGAGTATCCGACAGATAGTATGTATTCTTCGAAGCCGTTCACACACAGACACATATATATATGCTCTCGCTTCTTCTCTCCATCTCGCTGCCTCTCTTTCTGTCTTGATGTCCCTTTTCCGTTTCGCTCGTTTGCGACAGGTGATTTTCGAAGCGATGTGTT